AAAGCTACTGTCACTCTCGGAATTCCATTCCGACCCCTATATCAAAATCTCGCCTATCAACCGAAACCGCCAAAATATCAATTTCGCCAATTTAAGCCTAAATCTTCTCTACAACTCCAAAACTCATTCCGATCGCGCTCCTAAGTCACAAATCACCTCACGAAGCTAACCGAACCATCGGAACTCACTTCCGAGCCTTCTAACACATAAGTCAATATCTGGTTGACTTTTCCAACTTAAGCCTTCTTAAAAGAGACTAAGTGTCTCATTTCTTACCAAATCCTCTCCAAACTCGAACTAATCAACCCAATCACATAAAACACGGATAATGAAGCGTAAATAAGCTGAAATAGGGGAAAATGTGGTGGTAACTCATGAGACGACTAGCCGAATCATCACAACAGTTGCAAATTCTTTGGCCTTCTTTCTTTGGGACATAAATCATCTATCAAATGATACATCTGTCCTTGAACTCTAAACATGTAGATACCACGGTTTCTCTTGGCTAAATCTTTGTCAAAACTGACACCAAGTGATGTAAAAGCAAACAGATTATTATATGTTCTAATATATGTTTGGAAATGCCTGGATTCTGCATTGTTTCCCATATATAAATTTTTCAGTTTAGTTGGCATTCGATGAGAGCTTAATCTCACTGTACCACTGCCACAACAAATCCAGGGGGTTCTTACTGAAATCTTTTCGCATTGCAGAACAAGCAGTTTGAAATCTTTTTTAACGGAACATAATCAAAGCGTAATTGGTTAAAGTTAATCGTATTTCTCTTATTCTTTACGTGGCCTATATAGTGCAGATAATTAATTGTGAGAGATGAAAATAGAATGGTCGATAAAATCAATAAAGAATGATCGTTAAACTAACCTTTAGTTGTAACTGTTTTGGAGGTTGGAGTACATGAATCATTTGTGGTACCCGATGTTGAACCTTAATAGATACTACATTTTTGTGGTTTTACCTTTTTCAAAAACATGAAAGGCTAGATAATATCTTTTTCCTTGTCAAAGACATCGGATGACGAAAAAGCTCTACACTCAGTAACTGCATGGTCAAAAATAATGATCATGCTCGTAAAGATGACATATTTATAATAATTATGTATGCATGTATTATAGAAACAACGAAAAGGATAGAGCATTTGATGTTCTAACCTGTTTGTGAAGAGGAACAAGACAGTCCAATATTAACACTATCATCTATATGAGATGTTGTTCCAATGCGATTGATATTATTTGTAGTTGCAAGAAGGCGTTTAGTTGTTGCCTCGCGAATTTTCAGGCATCGTTGCAATAATTTTTCTTCTCTCAAAGTCATTCCCAAAGAATCGTCTATTTTATGGTGTTTGATATTCTCATCATGAGCTTCTGTCACCGAGCGAGGGCTCTTTTTGGATTGTCGACTATCCATTAATCTGATTTTATTGCAACTATTGGTACTTCGATTGTCCTAAACATCATTATACAACAGTAATATTATAATTTTTTTTATCAAATAGCAAAGATACAAGAAAAACAACAATTGACTATAATGACTAAAAGACGATACAACTATTTCACCATATTTATTTTGTTATAAACACGTATGATTATTAAACATGCCATTATAAAATATTGAATACTTAATATTAACACAATAAATTATGATAAATTACTCGTAGTTTATTTTAGCTAAGATAACCCAAAGAACTTCCATCTTGTCATATAAACTATAAATTATAAACAATATCCAAATAGGTGAAGTATTAGATGATGTAACACAAAATTCACTTAGTTGTTTTCAGAATAAGTCATTACCTACTTGGTGTGATAAAAAGCAAGACAGGGAAAAGAAAAAAAGAAAAACCTATGGGCAATACTTTTAAATTTTAAGCAAAAGGTTGAAGATTCTACATAACTGTGGATAAAGGAATTCTATCACTGTCCTATCATTCACTTATAGTTTGTTACCTAAGTTTCTTTGCGTACCTTATGTTGACATTGAACTGAAGTTAAGCCAAGTTAGAAAAGAGGAAATCCAGGTCAATTGAAAATTTAACCAAACAGACATTGAAATTCAATTGAATTTAGTGTATAAGTTGTTCTCCATCGAGAGACTCTACTTTGGTACACTACTGAATAAGTGCACTAATTTGTAATTTATGGCAATAGCTTAAAGAACAACCTTAAAAGTTACTATATGTGGAAAATGAGCATGAGTCATTGTTCTACCCGAACTTGAATTTTCCCTTCAATCCGGTGAAACACAAAAAGCGACTCTTATTCTTCGTCAATATTCTACCATTTTTATTCACTCTTTTCCAACGAACTGTCTTACTAAGCAGAATATCCTCCTTGAATTTCTAGCTCATAAAGGTTAGTTAGTTCTAAGCTTTTTTGGTAGTTGACATCAGTATCAACTTTTACACAACATAAACAACAGGCAGGTGAGGCAATCAAACGGTAAAAAAGAAAGCAATCAAATAAAAAAACTTACCCTTTTTTAATCAAGAAGCAAAGAACTTCAAGTAACCCAATCCTCTATGTAAAGTATCAGAAAGAGTAGATATGTTATCGATATTAGAACAAATCCAAAAGTTGGGAATTTATAATAAGGATTGGAGATAAAGAATAGATAAAGATGGAAATTTATAACAGAACGAAGAGAACAGAGGAGGAAGTTAGAGAAAAACAGAGGAAGCGGTGACAAGATGAAGATGAACAACAGAGGCGCCAAAATTTTGCTAAGCACCCACGTGTCAGAGCGGAAGAAAAACGTGTCTTATTTTGTAAGCGCAGGAGGGTGTAGCGTTTTTTATAATTTTTCAACGCAATGATATATTGAGGATTAGGAGTAAAACAGGAATAAACTGAGATTTAATGATTTTTTTGGTAAAATTACGTTGACCGGAAGCTGCTGCCGATTCCCATTTCTAAAGAGTAGTAATAGTTGGTCGTGAAAGTATTTTGATTGTAAAAAAGTTGTGATATGTAGAGAATTAGAGATTCATATGTTTTATTTCATATGACCTCGCTACTATTTAGTAAGTCCATTTTTTATTTATGTTTTTCAAAATTTTATTATATTTGTTACTATTAAAATTATGATTTATTGTGTTGTAATGGAGTTGGCGAATCTATTGTAAAAAAAATAATAATTAAGAAATCAATATCCGATTAAGAAAAAAATAAGATAATATAATTCGTGTCCATAATTCTTTTTAGAATAGATAGAGATTGACATCGAATTGACGAAAAAAAAAAGGTTTCTTAACCTATCATAGATCAAATTGGAATTGCAGTCTTGTTTGAAAATTAATACCTAATGCCAGCCTAAAATCAAAGCTTTATAATCTAGTGGTATTAAGGTTTGAAGTTTGTTGGTAAATGCCGGCCGTAGCTAACTTCACGTACATGGGTTTCTTATCTAAACTTCCTCTTTTCCATTTCCTTGCCTCTTATCTCCGAAAAAACGAAAAAAATCTATAATTAAGATCCATATAAGAACATTCTCATATTGCCAAAGATACACTAATAACAAAATTTATCCGAGTTAGGCGCGTCCCTATCAGTTTGTACAAAGTTATAACTAAACATGGTTCAACTGCTAAAATTTTGACCTCTGAGCAAATTATAATATTATTTCAAGCTGATGCTTTTTAATGGTTGAATATAACTAAAGATAAGTAAATAATATAGAGAAAATAAGTAGTAATATAATCAAAAAGCCAGAGGGTTGCGTGGAAATCACCCTAGATGTGAATTCTCCTCTGTGGAGTATCTCCATGACATTTCCAGGGCAACTGAATAGAGAATTGTGAAGATTCATACAATGCAGTGAGAATTCCTCAACATTACCAATCAGTAAAAATTGACAATGCTGTTATGACAGCATCCTCCCCCCACCCCACCCCACCCCCACCCCTTCAAACTGAGAAAGACATAAAATTCAATGTCCATCAAATTCACTTTTCATAACACAACATTATTACATTGTACACCTCTACAGAAACTTTTAACATTCCGATAAACATGCATCAAAGAATGCCTAAGCTTGCTTCAGCTTCTTCTTTCCCCAGAGAGATGCAAATTGGCCAAAACTTCTGAGGTGTTTTGCCTATCTCATTTCCCTGAGAAACGTCGAAACATCATGAGCACAAAACCAAGATATGATCTGTAATGCACTACATATGACTTTGCTTCAGTTTCTTCTTCCCCAGAGATGGCCAAAACTTCAGCGCTGTTTTGGCTCTCATTTCCCTGAGAAATGTCGAAACTTCACGAGCATGAAATCAAGATATATGATCTGTACATGCACTAGCTAGAGATGACTTTGCTTCTGCTTCTTCTTTTCCCAGAGAGAAAAAGTGTCGAAAAACGAGCTGTTTTGCTTCTGGTTCTCCCTGAGAAATGTAGAAACTTCACGAGCACACAACAAGATCTGATCTCTATCAGATAAGATCTTCAGAATACTAGACTTATATATGTATCACACTTATCCTGCACCATCCCACTTGCTATTGTTCCCTAACACACAAAACATTATCCTGCACATGGCAAATTTTCCCCCAACAATCGAGCATCAAACTTTCCTACATGGCATCATCCCTTGAGTCCCTCTCATGGTCAACATTGTCAACCTCACTTGCATCTTGACTAGAGGGTTCAATTACCCTTTCATCTGTGGTTCTGGGCTCCACATTTAATTGGCCTACTTTGGGGCAGTCGGAGCCACTACGACGAGATGTTTCATCACCACTTTCCTCAGCTGATGTTCTATCGCTGGTTTCTGCCGAAGTATGAGGTGTTTCACTGGAAGCTTTAGCTGGAGTAAGGAGGGATTGGCGGCAGAGTGGGCATGTGCTATGAGTAGCTAACCAGAGATCAATGCAATCCATGTGAAATGTATGCCCACACACAGGTATCTGTTGAAGTCTATCATCTGCTTGGTAATCACCTAAGCACACTGAACACCTGTAACAGCAAAAGAGAGAAGTCCATAAGAAACTGAGAGAGAACTAAGAAATCGTGATTTAACAAATATTTCCAATATTATGGCTTCATTGCATTAAGAAAACTAAACAAATAGATTTTTGAAATTCATGGACAATTAACCACAAATATAACGAAAGAACTTTTAACAAGTATGGGATGAAATTCGAAACTAAAACTCTTTCAAATGCCAAAATAAATTACTTGATAGTTCTTTCGAGCATGAGTTGAAGCACATATCATTAGATTTCCCAGAAAAACTAATCACAACAACCACTATAGTAATTAAAGTTTTGGGGATAACTTCTATAAGAGAGCAAAAACAACACAGCAGCGAGTGCAACAAATATCTTAGATGAAGTTGCAGCAATATCACCAATCACAGAGACACAGACTATTCATAATAAATGCATGTTACGAGATGAGCCTTCTGCTCCTATGATGAAATTTTTTATCTGACCCCAGATATTATTAGTTAGAGAGGTGCATTTGTTTTTTTTTTTTTAACCAAAAAAAATTGTTAGTGAGGACAACATTATTTTAACAAATTTAGGTACCAATAGGGGTGGCAATTTAAGCTCAACCCGCCCAAGATTGGGCCGCTCAATGACTCATCCATTGTTGAACTCATCCCATCTTGACCCAACCCATCTAAAGTTGGGCTAATTTTTAGCCCAAGTTGATCCGTGAGCATCTTTGTTATAAATGACCATAATAAAACAAAAAAAGTCTTATTTGGTAATTAAATAATTCATAAGAAAGCAACATACATTAATTAAACCTTGGTAAGAGCCTTATGACCCAAATTTTAGCCCACATCTTGACCCAACCTCATCTCAGCCCAAATAACTTTTGGGTGGGGCATTGACCCGACAATTTATTGACTCAGCCCATTTTGACCTGCCCAAAATCAGCCCCCCCACCCCACACACACACACATTTGACACCCCTAGGTACCAATATCTCTAGATCTGCATATAGTTGAGTGTCGTGACATTTGAAAGAGGCAGCTCTTTGCAATGAGATTGATGAAAGTCCATCAAGGCACTGTTGCAGTGAAATTGATGAAAATACCGTGGAATCGTTTACCAACATGGAGCTTTCTACAGGCATCATCTTTTGGATAATATTTTTCTTAATACTGCTTCAGAGTAGGCAAGCCTTTGCAGCTCCATGCTTGCTCCCTAATTAAGGTTTAAAATAAAAAGCCTCAAGGAGTTCAAGAAGTTCGATTACAGGGGTCGATTTGTGCAATGTGCTCTTACTTACCCGGGAAAGATAAAGGGTCGGATTTATGTGCTTTTCATTTATTACTACCAGTATCAAGCCCAGTGATTTCCAGTGGACTTCCATGCTTGTTTATTCCTTTATCCTACTTTATACTCTACTACGACGCCAAAATAAGTTACATCCTATGCAACATAACACCCCCCCACATAAACTACAATAGCAAACAACCTTCCATAAATCTCTGTCAATCATTTATCTATCAACCACACCTCAATGGCTCAATACCAAATCAATTGGGTTATGATTCTTCTTAATACCACACTTCCCTGGTCAATTTCATTCTGATACTAAATAATTTGTCTTTCGGACAAATTAGGCCTCTCTAAATCTCAATAACTAGTTTAATATCAACTAGTTATTACTATCACTTATATGGAATTTCTTACTTCCACCGTCTTTTATTTTGAGCCAAGTCTCATTCTTTTTTCTTTCTAATAGATTTAAGATCTTGTGAGACACTTCCCTCCATGTAATTTTAGGTTCACATCTTTTAACGCCTTCAATCATCATAATGTCACACCGATAGATCGACATATCAGGAGGTACGCATAGAACATGAAACCCTGAAATTTTAAAAAGCCTGAGTACCCAATTGGCCAAAATGTCAGGTTGGTTCATAAAGTTGCAAACTTTTTTCATGTTTTTAACATGAAAAAAAAAAATGGAAACAGCTTAATTGGCATAGCCTACCAATTTTTTTTTTACCAAATTCTGAGCATATAAACAATTCAAAGAATCAAGAAAGACAAAGGACTCTTACTGTGTGTCTTTAACTGAGAAGCTCTCTGTGAACACAATAATTGGTAACATCTCCCTCACCTCCTTCTTCAACCCCAATTCACACTGTTACAACAACAACAACAAAAAAAATCAATTAAAACAACAATTCCAAGATTTATATAAAAATCACTCCTTTCTTTTATTTTCCTTATACATACCCTTGACAATTCATCAGCTCCCGTAGCGGTGTGCTGCAACTGTGGACTCCTCATCCTTAAAGAAGACCAGTCAACCCTCCGACGGCGAAGATAAAATATGTAAAAAAACAACAAAAGTACAAAAGCAAAGAAAATGGGAACTGAAAAAATGAAAGCTTGATAAAGCTTCAAGTGAGATGAACCTTCAACAGCAGCAGTAGTGCTGGAATCAGAGTAGCCTTTTCCAGTATAAGACATGACCAACAGACAATATAATTTCTTGTTTCCTTAAATTGAATCTTGGGACGACAATAACAATTGTCCCATATAAATGTAGTGCAAGAATGAAGAAGACCCAGATGGGGAAATGTAGCTTGGAATAGGAGAAAAATGGCAAAGGAAAAGACAGATCAAAAAAGAGACAAGAGGATAAAGAGATAGGTGCAGATGGAGATTTAGACATGTAATAGCAAATATATATATATATATGAACTGTGAAGGTTTAAGAAGGTAATTAATTATTACAAAAGTGTTTGGGATTTGGACTTGGGAATCTAGGTGAGTTACTAATAACTCTTCTTCGAGTCTTGCAAGTTGCAAGTAGGCCAACTTCATGCTTCCTTCTTTATGCAGAGCAGACAAAAAGTGGTGGGGGTGGTTNATTTGGTTCCAACACGCAGTTGGAAGAGATTTAGGAGCCCACCGGAGCAATAAATAAAAGGAAAATTTTCGTTCCTATACCATGTAGGAAACTATATTACTAAATATGTTCATAGTTTGTATATTACCCACCATGCTAATAGTATTTCTACAAAATATAGATAATTCATTAAATAAGAAATCATTGTAGCAGTATGTTTTCTTATTTAGGCACGCTAAAATTGGGGAATTAAATATTCTTCCAGATTTTCTACAACGCAAATCACGCACATTCATAATTATCGTCGGTTTCGTTTCAAATTTTCCATACTCTGTTTTTGTGATACACTCTGTTTTAACCTTTTTTCTGATTTCACAAATCAAAAACGACTAAATCTTCTACAATTCTTCTGCAACAAACACAATTATGTCAAAAATCCCAATTATGCTACAACTGAATGAGAATTGGGATAACTATGGGAGATTTAGAGAATTTCAGGTCGATGGCATTATAGTCGATGAGGATGCGAGTTATAGTCTATTCATTTCTACAATAGCACAACAATTAATGATCGATACATCCGAAAAAATTATAGAAATCAAATACATTGTCAACGAGTATTGTCCTCCAATGGAAATTAGGAACAATATGGGTGTTCGTGTATACATGGAGACGAAAAAGGAAAACAAAAACTTAGGATCATATCCGCTATGTATAACTATTCGCGATTTCAATACAGAATTGAGTATCACCAATGAGAACACAGCTGCAGGTGTGTGATGTTAATTTTTCTATCAAATTCTGGTTGTATGTCAATGCATTACACTTTATCTACATTTTATCTACAAATAAACTACGTGTCAGAGTAAATATATATCAGTATGGATTTTCATAATATCTACAAAATTTCTACATTTATTCTACAATAAAACTACATATCATTTGAAAAATTAATATGAAATACAGAATTTTCACCTTTCTACAAATTATCTACAAACTATTCATAACAGTATTTATATTTTCATGCAGGTTCGTCTAGAACACTAAATTTACTTGATATGCCAACATCTCCCGTTATAGAGGAATATGAAAGTATAATATTAACAGATAGTACACCAAGTTCTATTGAAATAGGACAAGTATACCAAGACAAGGAAACAATTGCAACTGCAATGAAGCACTATTCTGTCATGCACAAGTTCCAATTCAGGGTTAAAATATCTAGTGCTAGAAGGTATGAACATATGAATGGTCAAAGATCATTATTTTTTTAATTTTGTAGTTTATTTGTAATTTTTTACTTCTTTAGTTTTTTCTTGTGATAATGTTTATCAGAATTGTAGATGAATTGTAGTTATGTTGTATATAGATTGTATAATGTGATCGTTTAAGCTAAAATAGTTTTTTTTTCTTTTTAAATCTACATTTTAAACCAGTGTTTAAATTGTATTTATTGTGTAGCTACTGACTGATATGTGTTGGTGAAAACTGTACATGGTACTTCAAGGCAACTAGCATAAATGATTCTGCAATGTTCAAGGTCAGAAATTTCAACAGCCAGCACACATGCTCTTTAATGGACAATACATTCATACAACGCAAACCTACTGCCATGGTAGTTGGTAGCATGGTTATTCCAAAATATTCTGATCCTAAGATAATTTACACGCCAAAAGACATACAATTTGACATGTTGTCTGAACACGGCGTGAATCTAACCTATATGCAAGCTTGGAGAGCAAAGGAAAAGGCTTTACAGTTTTTGAGAGGTCATCCTGCTGACTCCTACAGCAAATTGCTTAGTTATTTGTATATTCTAGAGAAGACTTATCCGAGATCTGTAGTTAAATTGAAGAAGACGGACGATGATTGCTTCTTGTATGTATTTGTTGCAATTTGTACGTTAATCAGTGGTTGGGAATATTGTAGGCCAGTTGTAGTAGTTAATGGGACCTTCTTAAAGTCAGCATACATGTGAATAATGCTAATAGCTAGTATAATGGATGCAGCAGGTATTGAAGTTTTTATTGTAAAAATATTGTAGCTTGTATATTTTTTGTAGTACTTGCAGATTTATTGTAGAAAAGTTGTAGTTTGTATATATATGTCTTCTTCTGCATTTTCCTGCAGCCAATTAATTGCTTTTTGCCACATAATCTAGGTACCATATTACCATTGGCATATGTTGTTGTTGATTCAGAGAATAACGCATCATGGAAGTGGTTTTTTGAGCAATTCAAATACGCATATGGTGAAAGACCAAATATGTGTATTGTTTCGGATCGGAATGAGAGTATCTTGAAGGCAACATCTATTGTTTATCCCGGCATGCCACATTATTCTTGCATGTGACATATTTGGACAAATATACGTGCAAAGTTCAAGAAGGGACACCTAAAGTTAAGTGAATTATACTTTGCCACGACACGGTCGTACACCTTTGATGAATTTAATGAAAGGATGTCAAAGATTGAAGAGATTGACTCCCGTGTTAAATCATACTTATACGATATTGGCTATCATAGATGGTTTAGAGTACATGCTACGGTAAACAGAACTTGGACTATGACATCAAACATTGCAGAGTCGTTGAATGCTGTAACAAAATATGCAAGAGAGTTGTCGATAGTAGAACTATTAGAGTATATGAGGACCCTTCTTGAACGTTGGACGAAGGAAAAGTTATTGAAAGCAAAGGGTACATTCACATACATTGGGTTCAAATTCAACAAAGAGTTGGATAACAACAGAATATTGTCGCACAAGCTTAGAGTAAAATCTGCTCATTTATTGAATCAAATTACTTTATATAGGACAATGTAGATATATTGTAGATATTTTGTATATAGTTTGAGTTTAACCGTATATGAATTGTTTTTTTTGTTTGTAATGTAATCGTAGGTGAGAGCTTCAACAGACTACATCCATACAGTACTAGATGGTGTGAGGCGTTATATTGTTTGTTTTGAAAATAAGAGATGTAGTTGTAGGCAATTCCAGCTTGACGAACTTCCTTGTCCACATGCTTTGGCTGCTTTAAGACACAAGGATGAGTCTTTTGAACAATATTGTTCTCCTTATTACACAAGGGCGATCCTCTTGCGTACTTATAAAATACCAGTAAATCCCCTGCCTGATGAAAGCAAATGAAATGTGTCACAACATATATCTGAAGAAGTAGTAAATCCACCTAAAGGAGGGAAAAGGCAGCCGGAAAGACCTCAAAAAAAAGATACAAAATATATGATGAAATAAATTCAAAGAAGTACAAGGTTTCATGCGGCAACTGCGGAGGAGAAGGGTATAACAAAAGATCTTGCAAGAATGCACCCAAAAAGAAATAAAATTTTATGTAATTAACAGAATATTTCATAAAAATTGTTGGTGAGTTCAGGATAACAGATTTTGATGTGTAATTGTTGAGGCTTTTTAAGATCATAATGAAGTTAGTTAGGGTTTTTCTGTATTGAGATAATACTTTCATAGAGTGATTTATTTATGAATGGTTTATATATATATATAATCTACAACATTTTTACTATCTCAGGAATCCTTTACACAGTTGTTAATGTGTTTTTGCAGTTTATCTACAATAAAACTACAAAAAAATACATTAAATGGAATTTACAGAGTATCTACAATATAAATCAGTAGGAAAGTAGTTAAAAACTTAAAATATTGTAGATGAAGTATTGTTTATATTCAACAAATGAATATAAAAGAAACAAAACACACTGTTAAATATAATCTACAAATTATCTACAAATACAACTACAAAAAAATTACAATATCTGTAGCTGACATAATAGCTAGATTATAATTCAGCTAGAAAGAAGCTATATGATAAAAATAATGTAGATCAAGTACTTTATACATTCAACAAATTGAATTTAAAAGGAACAAAATATTTAGTTACTGATTTTTACGCTTTATCTACAAAAAACAACAAAATAACTACATATTTTAGCATTGATAGAATAACTATATAAAAATTCAGTTGGAAAGGATTTATATGCTAAAAATAATGAAGATCAAGTAGTGTAAAGATTCAACAAGTGAATATAAAACCAATAGAATGTTTCCATTTGAACTACTATACTGGATAAGAAAAAAAAACAAAGGCTACTATAATTGTAGCGCAAGTCTGCTACAATTAAAACAACAAAAATTGTTCAAAAACTTGTCTACCATCTTTTTTCTAAACTAGCATCAACTAAACAATTGTACTATATGTTCCATACAAAACATTACAACTACTTCTTCTTCCTCTGGACTCGTGTTTTCTCATTCAAAGCTGGTGCACCTTTTCTCCTTGCCAATTTGCCTGTCACCTCACTATCACTAATTACCCCATGCTCCTGCTTCTTTCTACCATAGTCCCAAAGTAGCGCTCCATAGTGTCTACGGTGTTGGTCAATATCAGAAAGGTCTTCTGCCAGAATTGATAACTCTCCAAGACTAACATACTCTGCAAAGGCAACAACAAATACACCACAATCGTTGCAAAAGATAAAAAAAAGTCAATATTTACCAAACCATCAGAAAAAGGGTTAAATGTATAGAAAGAAAGAAGATTTTTGTTACAGTGATCCTTCTTTTTGCTGTGGTATCTCTCCGACGATCCACTGAATGTTAAGAGGGTCGGTAACAGCTTTCTCAATGTATGCCTTTGTATTCTTGAAGTTGATGTCTTTACGTTTCCTATAAAAACCGGTGCATGACAAGTACAAAGGGATAATAACAGAAAACTTGTCGACACAAGATTCAATAATAGGGCGATTGCGTGAAGAGACCATGGAATCATATACATAAAGTTGCCTTTTTGCAATGTCAAAAATAACCAACACCCAGTGGAATTTTTCTACAATATTGACGGGCATGATGACATAATCAACTTCATCCCATGCAACAATTGCGAGTAGTCTATACCCCAATATATATTCTGCTACAACGTCCTGGGATTTGATAACAGAAAACTTCTTTTCTTGAGGAGAATTTTGGAACTTTTCATAAATTTGATTAATCCTAGTCTTGAACAAACAATATGTTGTAATAAACCTTGTCTTGTTATGGGGGCCATACTTGCCTCTTTTCCTCAAGTAATATATTATAATATTAATGTGCTGCAACAAAATAGATTGCATTTATACTACAAGTTATCTTCAAATAATTTAAATAAAACTACAAAATAACTACAATTCATCTACAATCAGAATACAAAGCATCTACAATCAAAGTATAAATTATCTACAAATCAAATACATTGAATCTTACCGAGTCATTGAGGACTTGTCCTGGATGTGCCAGGGAAAAGAACCACTCCTTCTTGTCAACCTTTTCCATTCCAAGATCCAACTATGGCTTAATTTGGTTGTCCTTTATAGAATACGGAGCCTTCCTCCTATATAAACTAATAGAAATTAAAATAAAATTATTGCATGAAGTGGATGTGTAAAAGATGAATACTGGAATAAAAGTGTCCAATTGTGCAACCTAACCTCTTTGGACCTGCGTCGGTACCGTGGTATAACCACTTGTGGAATTGATCCAACAACTCAAGGTCTATATTTTGACCAATAACACTAGTAAATGGGTGTTTGAGGTGAAAAATTTGAGGTCTAACCGAGGTGCTGCCACCAGAACTGTATAAAGGGAGAAATGGTGATCGGGCATGCTTTCTAGGCTGTCTTGTTCTACCTTGATACACGAGTGTTATTTCATCTTGTATAGGCTCACCGAACATAACCAACTGGGAGAAGCTATCAGGCAGCTCAAAATCATCAAGCGTAACCTCCTTCTTCTCACCTCCGGAGTCTTCTGAATCACCTACATTCACATACTCTGCCTCTTCACCTACATTGTCATCTTCCTGATTCAGCTGTTCTCTTTGAGCTGCTACTGTCACTCCGTGAATTGGAGATTGTGCATGCATATCTTCTCTCTATGTAACACCATGTATATCTAACTTAATAGAATGGTAAAAATAGTGAAACATAAAGAAAATATCTCTGAATACAATTTCATACCTGCATTCTTTTCATCAACTGTCCCTTTAAAATGTGTATATAAATCAACACGTGCTGGATGATTTTCTTCACCAAGTGCACCTTCAACATGTTTTGTTATTTTCATTAAAAATGTTAAATCATATTTGATAGTATTGGCTTGATAGTTTAAGAAGATATGTAGGTGTGTTATAAGATCTACATAAATCTGTAGAGCTGTGCCAATATGCTGGATTTATTTGTATATATTGTGCACAAATCTGTAGTTATGTTGTAGATAACTTGTAGATATTTTGTAGATAATTGTAGATAAACTGGAGATATATTGTAGATACCTATTTTGCTGGGTTGACTTGCACTGGTTCACCACTATTGAACTGAAATTGCTGATTGTTCTTGTCTTTTGATTGGTCAGCATTTTTGGTTGAACTCCCAGCAGACTGAAAGTTTTAAATTAGTTAGGATATATATTTTAGAGGTGACATAAATAGTTTTGTTAATGTGATTAAAATTCAAATGTTACCTTTGCATCAACTTGATCATTTGGAATGTTTATCACCTGCAAAACAATCTTGACTGACTCCTTTATTAGGTCTCGAAGGCTAACTAGTTCTTCAAATATATCTTTCCTAAAATCTTCAAGCTTTTCATCGACCTACATAATTAAAAAAATACATAGTTAACTTCAGAAATATGTCTTAGCATACATTAAAAAACATATGCACTATTATATATACATCACATTGCTGTTTAGGAATACATGTTACCTTCTCAAGACCTCTTTTTAACTTTGTTATTTTATGAAGAATAGACTCCTTTTCCTCTTTTCCAATTGATTCTTTGGGTTCCAATGGAGGAGCATCAACTTTGGGATCCTCAGAAACATGTTCAACCTCTTCAATTATGTACTCAATTTTATCAGGCAAAGACATCACTGAAAGCTCTTCAGGTGATTCATTTATGTTGGTGAACTAAATGATGAAAAAAAAATTAGCTTGATTAAGGCAGAATATGTATACAAATTGTAGATATTTTGTAGGTAAATTGTATATTCATAAATAAAAACCATTTACCTTCATCCATTCAGGCTTGATCATTCTGTCTTCAATTGCAGCTAACCAAATCTGACCCTTACTAGTTGACCAGTTAAGTATGCGAGAGATTGAATTAGAAATCCTTGTAGCTATATCAATGTTGACGGAGGAGCAACACTCATACAACCATACTTGCATGGCTAGTAGGAATCTTCGAATGAGATAAGAATGAACGAAAGGATTTAGTCTGTGCCTAACTGATTCAATCATCTGTCTGTAAGACTAAATACCCCATGAAAATGTCTCGTACTGATCGGATTCCACCAAATAAAACCTAAAATGATCTACCAACCCAATATGGCCTCTCTCTAAAGGACAAATGAAGAATTCTATGAGATATAGAATACATAACTTTACTGCATCCTCATCATTTACCCAGCTTTTGTTGGTTATTATCTGTTTTAGGGATGTCTTCTCCATTTTTACCTTGTTTGGAAAGTAACTGCTCATTATTTTACTGACATAATTAGGAGTGTAATCAAAGTCTGTCACCTCGGTATGACATCTAAGACCAGTTATTACCGCAAACTCTCTCAATCCAAAATCTAACCTCTCACCTTTTAACTCAGCTGAAAAATAGGAAGCATTAGATGAATTCAATTCATACTTCATAAGAAGATGAATAGCTTGATTTTGCATGCATAAATTGGGAAATGACAGTAAATAACCAAAGCATGTCTTCTTGAATAGCTTCAAACCATTTGGAGACATAAGCGCTTTAATTTGGCTAGGAATGCTAAGGTCACATAATGTCTGGAATCTAAGCACTCCATAATTAACATTATGGGATGCAAAAAAATGTCCATTCTACAAAATTCAAAAAATATAATCTAACATTAATACAGTAATTAAAAAACATAGATACATTTGCATTTTATCTACAAAATTACTTCAAAAAATATACAAAATATCAACAATTTTAAACAGATCAATAAATCTACAATTAATCTTCATAATTAAGACAAATAATCTTACATTAATTTAGTGCTTAAAAAATATAGATACATTTGCAATTTATATACAACATTTCTACAAAAAATCTAAAAAGCAA